GAGCATTTCTTAAATTAGTGTTCAGAGTAATATTAATTATGTACATTTTGACTGCCTACCCTCCAATAACAAATATGGTTCTCTCAGACTGAGTGAAAATAGCATACTCCAGTGGCGGTAACCATATGCGACTTCTTGGATTCTTTCAAGATGGCCTTGTCTAATTTGGTCAGAGAGAGATGGATCAGATAAACTAATCAACTATGCTTGGGTGGTTAGGGAGACACTCATCAGCTTTACTGGGCTAACTTTTTGTACCGAGTTGAATTTTTTATATATCATGGTCCTCCTCCCTTATATGTTGCACTTCTAGTTCTTTGAAAGACTCAAACGTTATACCTTTTCACGCACTCTTCCTTCATTACGTCCTCTTGCTGGCCTTGACTCAGGAGGCCTGCCATATGAGACAGTGGGCTTAGAGAAGGGTTGAACTGTTGAGGAGGTAGACATTTGTGCTATCACGAGCTCAATCTCCTTGAACACTTACTCCTGTAAGAGGTCAATAGTGGGTTCGTTGCATTGTTTTTGGGAACAAGATTAAAATGACCAATTACTGTCATTTTAAATTGGCATGATAATCTGTAAAATTAATTAGATTATTCTATAACATACCTGTGATTGAAAGAGGTGGGTGTCAGACATAATATGTAACACTTTCCTTCTTTAATTTACAAAACCAATATCCATCATTTGATTAAATTAGTAGCAGGTTTTGCTCACTCCCTATCAGAATTAGCATCTACATCCAATGGAGGAAAATTAGCACGAGACATTAGGATAACCAACCCCCAATAAAAACCATTAACCACCTCCCTGTAATTTGAGGCTCCGGTAAAAAATGAAAATTTTTCATAATTTTTATAGCTATGAGCATAGATGCACTGATCTTTTTGGTCAAATTGTATTTTTAAACCTTCATAGTTTCTGAATGGTAAAATGGAAATGAATAGAGGATGAGGAATAAAATCGATCACCTGTTAGGACAATGTGAGAAGATGGATCGACTCCATGAGAAATGCTGAAGTTCATGCCAGCTGGTAAGCATCTGTCATGGGCATCAACCCCCAGTTATGAGGATGACACTAAATAGATGGACCTTTCTAGAACATCCCGGAACTACATCAGTCACTTATTCCATCAACTTACCTATATATTAGATGCAATCCACATAATTCAGTAGAATGTCTTACAAGATGCTTACATATGATTCACTGAATTGGCAGTCTGATTTTATTATTACACTATTAAATAGAAACATATGCACAAAAGTTTCAATTGATCGTACACATTGAATTTCTTCATGCACTTATTGGTTATGTGCATGACAGGATAGTCTAGCATCGTTGGAAGGCATGTACAAATTCATATGTAAAATGAAGATTAATGTCAGTATTCGACTTCACTGCTTAGAGGATAAAAAATGCTTTACGCTATGAAGGTGGACCGCTTAAATCAGATTTGCTTAGTTTGTTCGTGAAATATCATGTCTCATGCACTCAGACCAGCTGACCAAATGTTTTTTTGCGAAGTCTAAATTGAAAAGTGTTTTGCTGGTAAATAAGTGTTTCGACAGTTACACTAATATTTCAATGACCTTGCTCTAAATTGTATGTGTAAATATGTATGAATCATTGGCATTGCAATGCATGGACAGGAATGAATTACAATGTCCTGTTTGAATAGTGATTGAATGCTGTATTTGTAATGCTATTTTATCGTGACAACTTCATTATTTATAATGCAGGTTGATGTATCGTAAATAACTTCACAAGCAACATTAAGGTAACAGTATAACATGCACTCTTCAATTTAAAGCTTTCGTGACTGCAAGGATTCATCTTCTTTGGTTCTTTCGGTAAAGTCACGTAGAATGAGAATAAATAATAAATTGATAAAATAAAATAACACAATAATATTCTCACGAAGTTTCGGCCACAACACAAGCGGCCTTCATCAGGTGAAGGGACGAGACTGTCTGGAGGACAGCGCTGGAGTGAAAAAGCCACGCTCAGATCGTGACCTTTAAGCTGTGTCCTCCAGACAGTCTCGTCCCTTCACCTGATGAAGTCCGCTTGTGTTGTGGCCGAAACGTCGTGAGAATATTGTGTTATTTTATTTTATCAATTTATTATTTTATTCTCATTCTACGTGACTTTACCGAAAGAACCAAAGAAGATAACATGCACTCGTTTAATACAAGACATAAGAGTTGCTTATAAGACAATGCAGTCAAAACATAACATCAAAATGTAACCGTTAGGATGTTGTGTATACAGGAAATAAAATTGCATATAGATTACGTAAAAAAGTACACACTATCAATGGTGGTTTAAAAATAAACAACTTCAGGGTCAACAATAATAAACAAAACATCTATCGGAAATGCACAGTATTGTAATTAGTCAAGTGGGAGGCATGGAATGAACAAAATTACTTCCACTGAGCAAATACCGATGAGAGAAGGCAGATATTAAGAGTGATAGGGTTGATGAAACTTACACCAGTTTAAGTATATACAGTACGCTAGTTATAAACCACAAATGCCCAAGCAACAGAAGTGTTGATGCACAGGTGCATGCCAGGTGTAATGTTAAACTCTAGGATATAGCAGCAGTATCCAACATCCCCCAAAGCTTGAAGATAAGAGATTTAGGTAGACATGGTAGGTTTACGAGGTGTAAGCGATGGTGTCAGCAGGGGAAGCGATGCTGTGTTTTCAGTGATGGGTGAAAGTACATTGTAACACTGAACTACGGAAAGGGAATTCGGTATCAAGGACAACACCAATATGGTGAACTGTTACAATAAGACTGATGGTCGTGTTATGGATATATGGCATTGATAGTAATGATTGATGATAAAGCGGTGATAGGTGATGTATGTACTGGATGTTGAACTTATTTTGCACCGTACGTACCAACCATGCTAATCGGAGGTGATGCAGGAGAGAAAGTCAACTCAAATGTCGCACACAACATTAATAAATACGGTGAACTTTTATAACAAGACGTAAGGTAAAGTTATAGGTAAGTATTATTTTTTACCAAAGAACACACTGAAGCAAAGACATCAACGACACAGCGCGCATAAGTCAACAGAGTGAAACTACGACTTGCACAATAACACACCTGCCTCCGCTTAAGGGGTCGGTGGTACCAAACAACACTCCTTTCAGACAAGGGCTCTCAGCTGCAATACACACCTCGTGGGTTCATTAACTTGACATCCAACACGTAGTAATAATGATGAAAAGGTTGCCGTAGTTCACTCGAGATTATTCACATAAAGTGCAGCGATCACCGCCGTCACAAGCTTCAATGACCTGACCGCCGAGTGCCTGACAAGTACCGGAGCAATGATGCCACAGGCCGGGAAACGCTGACTCAGATTCCACCGACATTACTCCCATTGATTTGCCGCTTCGCTCTCGTTTGCGACGGGGCCACCCGTCTGTAAAATGGTAATGGGCTTGCATTCCGACAAATATGCACACAAGATATTAAATAAGAAGGATCGCTCCGAGGTTGTAACGCAATGATTAACGAACGCCCTTCGAGATTCCATTGGCACGATTCGGAAAACACGTTCAATGAATCCATGAGTTTACTGTTTTGGTTGCACGGTCTCGTTTATCGTCACTATAATTACAACGGAACGTTACAAACCTTTGCCAATCCACTGCTGGACGAAGGCCTTCCCAGGGCATGTTGGCCGCGGGTTTTTTGTTTTTACCGCACTTTCTCACTGGGGTGTGTGCCCACCACTGATTGTTGTTATTAGCCGTGTCCGGGCATCGTAACTTTCTGAACCGCCCCTACTGGACATCTGTGAAAAAAGAGCTTTATAGCTCATCGGATTCCTCCAGTATAAAAAGATTCGAACTCTGGCCGCCTAGCTCATACCGCTTTACGCTAACCACTCTAACCACCGTTTACCTCGGTACTAATAACCAGGTTACAAGCTCATTTAGACCACGACTATCTTATTCAAGGGATACCTGGGTTCGAAATGCGTTTGCACCGTATCCTTTGTACTGTTTGTTGTCTGCCCAGCACTGTCAATCTCACGAATCTAAACGACACGATTCGACGCAATGTAACGTTCACAATCTGTTTTAATCGATACGTCGCGGCGTGCTTGGCAAGCGGCCGAATCGCCCAAACTCGAGCCGCGGGCCCCATTTGGGGACCAGAGCCGCTTCCCCACCCAAGGTCAGCTCACGCAGGTGAACCCACACACAATCCTCCACGCACCGTATTTTTTTGTTTAAACCAACAAAATAAAATACACACGTCTGTGATTTCATCATCATCGGCAGCTTTGTTCACTCCACTGCTGGATGATAGCCGCATTCAAGTCGCCGCCACCTATAATGATGCTGCGATGGTAATAATCCACCTAGCATCCGCGCACCACCTGATTTCACGGCTCCATCTCCTCCTCGGTTGACACCCACACTCGAACGAGTTTCACCAACAAATATCAAACAAAAACAATTCGGGCCCAATAGCCGACGAGCCTTCACAATGTTTTCCAACATCATTTCATTACGTGAGCAAACTGACGAGGAATTTCCGACTTCAAAAAGAGGGACTCATCGGCCCACACGACCGGTGATGAAGCCCACGGGCTGACCACTGCCTGCTGCTGCTGATGAGCCTCAGGGAAGTCAAAACCCAAACTGCCACGGTGTTCGCTACCGAAACGCAGTGAGCCGGGAGGGCCCAACATAGCCTCTGATGCGAAGCTCAATGTTATTTTTGAAACCAAAAGCTTCGCCTGCGAAGCAGAGCCTCGTGTAATCGCGTCATTACGGGAGCGTTTACCTCGAGCAACGATAGTAACCGTGCTTTAACAATCACTGTAATTTTTGAAAACCAAAAAAATAGAGAATTCTGGCGATAACACGTCGCGGAGCGATGGAGCGCGCGGACCTACGTGGGTGGGGGGGGTATCTCCGCGGCCACTCCACACACACAGCTGCGAGGCACTGTACTTACGTGGTCGTCGTTGTTGCCGGCTGCGATTGGTACTGCCGCCGCCGCGGCCACCGGCGTCGTCGCCGTAGCTAGCGGTAGTTGTGCGAGACGACCGCCGTTGTTATTGTTCGCCAGACGCCTCAGCGCCGCCGAACGCTCGCCACTCGCTCCGACATGACGCGCGACGACACAGCCACTTCCGATCCGCGTGACGTCGCCGCGGACTTCCGGGAGACGCCACGCCCCCCTCCGCCTGTGGGCCACGCCCTTTCCGAGCAGGCCCCGCCCCGGCCATCGTCGGGGATACACGCCCCCTAAGTCGAGCAGACCACGCCCCCTGTGACTGAGAGCCTTTCGCAAGGCGGACTGAATAAAAGTCATAGAAAGTGGACCCCACCCCTACAAACAAGTTGAAGGTACCCCAATGGGTTCTCCCTTATCTCCAGTTGTAGCCAATGTTTTCATGGAAAATTAAGCGACAGATGCCATCCAAGCATCCACCCTACGTCCGTCCTTGTGGAAGAGGTACGTAGATGACACGTTCGTCATCTGGCCACATGGCCGACCAGCTCTGAACCAATTCCTCAATCACATTAATTCCATACATCCAGCCATCAAATTCACCATGGAGGTGGAAAAGGATGGCAAGTCACCATTCTTGGATATTTTAATTGAAAAGAGACCAGATGGCTCAATGGGGCACTGTCTACAGAAAAGCCACCCATAAGTATGCCTACCTAAAACCTGACTCCCAACACCATCCATCCCAGAAGAATTCCCTCATCAAAACTCTACTCCATAGAGCTCAATGCATTTCCGACCATCATCACCTAGCCAGTGAACTAAAACATGTACACCAAGCTCTCAAGATCAATGGATATTCAGACCACACAATCCATAAAGCTATCACCCCAACTGTTGGGAAAGAACCATCTGAGGACCCAATCAAAACCATCACCTTGCCATACATAGCAGGGGTCACTAAATATATTTCCAAAATCATGAGCAAACACAAGATCCAGGTTGGATTTAACACAGTACATAAAATTCGTGATCTGATCCCATCTGTGAAGGATGTGATCCCTGACATGCAATACCCCAGCGTCTACAAAACTAAGCTGTGTCTGCGGCAGTAGTTACATTGGAGAAAATATGCGACATGTCTCGGACCGTGTTCGTGAACATAAGGCAGATCTGAAACCAATACCTTGGCCATGGCTGATCATTGTTTTAATGATGTGGGCTCACACGAAATTTATTTCTCTAAGACGAAGGTACTTTGCAAGCCCACTGGCTCTCAACAAAGATTCGTTCATGAAGCCATCCATATATATAGACACAGACACAATTTGAACTGAGAAGATGGGAACAAACTGAGCATTCATTGGAAGGACGTTATCAACCAGTTTAAGTCATAACTGGCTGTGATGTTTCCATCCTACCTTCCAAATGTTAGTAGTTATTTTCGACTCTCTGGTTTTACATTAACAGATAAAATGTCTCACACTAACACAGCCACCGTCGCTCGTGTCCTCGATGTGGCGGTGGCTCTGAGATCTTACATTGACATGCTAATCTCTGATTTTACATTAACAGGTTAAATGTCTCACACTAACACAGCCACCGTCGCTCGTGTCCTCGATGTGGCGGTGGCTCTGCGATCATACATTGACATGCTAATCTCTCACTATACAATGGCCGCCTTCATTGTCGTGGAGGTAGCTCTCCGACCTTACATTGTCATGTAAATTCTCACTTTAACATCACTAGCCACGCCCACTTCGTTTATGACCCTTGGGCTACACCCATTTCAAACCTTTAAAACAGCCTGCCTCAGCAGCTTTCCCACTCTTTTTTCTCCTGATGACGATTGCTTGTGTTGCGATCGAAACGTCGTAGTTTTTTTGTTATTTTTGTTATTTTCTTTGAACCTATCTACGTGACTTTACCGAAAGACCCAAGAACATTGATCCAACAAGTTTACAACAATTGTCGACTCACTCCAAAAAAAGGCATATATGTGTAGTATCTCCTACACACTCTACATACAATAGAGTCAGTGGTGTCTACTACACACCCTACATACAATAGTCAGTAGTGTCTACTACACACACAATAGTCAATGTCTACTACACACCCTACATGGATTAGAGTCAGTAGGATCTACTACACACCCTACATGCAATAGCGTCAGTAGTATCTACTACACACCCTACATACAATAGAGTCAGTAGTGTCAACTACACACCCTACATACAATAGAGTCAGTAGTGTCAACTACACACCCTACATACAATAGTCAGTAGAATCTACTACACACCCTACATACAATAGAGTCAGTAGTATCAACTACACACCCTACATACAATAGAGTCAGTAGTATCTACTACACATCCTACATACATTATTCAGTAGTATCTACTACACATCCTACATACAATAGTCAGTAGTATCTACTACACACCCTACATACAGTACAGTGAGTAGTATCTGCTACACATCCTACATACAATAGTCAGTAGTGTCTACTACACACCCTACATACAATAGTCAGTAGTGTCTACTACACACCCTACATACAATAGAGTCAGTAGTGTCTACTACACACCCTACATACAATAGTCAGTAGTATCTGCTACACATCCTACATACAATAGTCAGTAGTGTCTACTACGCAGCCTACATACAATAGTCAGTAGTGTCTACTACACACCCTACATACAATAGAGTCAGTAGTGTCTACTACACACCCTACATACAATAGAGTCAGTAGTATCTACTACACACCCTACATACAATAGAGTCAGTAGTATCTGCTACACATCCTACATACAATAGTCAGTAGTGTCTACTACACACCCTACATACAATAGTCAGTAGTGTCTACTACACACCCTACATACAATAGAGTCAGTAGTGTCTACTACACACCCTACATACAATAGTCAGTAGTATCTGCTACACATCCTACATACAATAGTCAGTAGTGTCTACTACGCAGCCTACATACAATAGTCAGTAGTGTCTACTACACACCCTACATACAATAGAGTCAGTAGTGTCAACTACACACCCTACATACAATAGTCAGTAGAATCTACTACACACCCTACATACAATAGAGTCAGTAGTATCAACTACACACCCTACATACAATAGAGTCAGTAGTATCTACTACACATCCTACATACATTATTCAGTAGTATCTACTACACACCCTACATACAATAGTCAGTAGTATCTACTACACACCCTACATACAATACAGTCAGTAGTATCTGCTACACATCCTACATACAATAGTCAGTAGTGTCTACTAAGCAGCCTACATACAATAGTCAGTAGTGTCTACTACACACCCTACATACAATAGAGCCAGTAGTGTCTACTACACACCCTACATACAATAGAGTCAGTAGTGTCTACTACACACCCTACATACAATAGTCAGTAGTGTCTACTACACATCCTACACACAATAGAGTCAGTAGTATCTACTACACACCCTACATACAATAGAGTCAGTAGTATCAACTACACACCCTACATACAATAGAGTCAGTAGTGTCTACTACACACCCTACATACAATAGAGTCAGTAGTATCAACTACACACCCTACATACAATAGTCAGTAGTATCTACTACACATCCTACACACAATAGAGTCAGTAGTATCTACTACACACCCTGCATACAATAGAGTCAGTAGTATCTACTACACACCCTACATACAATAGAGTCAGTAGTGTCTACTACACACTCTACATACAATAGTCAGTAGTGTCTACTACACACCCTACATACAAGTCAGTAGTGTCTACTACACACCCTACATACAATAGTCAGTAGTGTCTACTACACATCCTACATACAATAGAGTCAGTAGTATCTACTACACACTCTACATACAATAGTCAGTAGTGTCTACTACACACCCTACATACAATAGAGTCAGTAGTGTCTACTACACAGCGTACATACAATAGTCACTAGTATCTCCTACACACCCTACATACAATAGTCAATAGTGTCTACTACACACACAACATACAATAGAGTCAGTAGTGTCTTCTACACACCCTACACACAATAGAGTCAGTAGTATCTACTACACATCCTACATAAAATAGAGTCAAGAGTATATACTACACATCCTACATACAATAGTCAGTAGTGTCTACTACACACCCTACATACAATAGTCAGTAGTATCTACTACACACTCTACATACAATAGAGTCAGTAGTGTCTACTACACACTCTACATACAATAGTCAGTAGTGTCTACTACGCAGCCTACATACAATAGTCAGTAGTGTCTACTACACACCCTACATACAATAGTCAGTAGTGTCTACTACACACCCTACACACAATAGAGTCAGTAGTATCTACTACACACCCTACATACAATAGTCAGTAGTGTCTACTACACACCCTACACACAATAGAGTCAGTAGTATCTACTACACACCCTACATACAATAGTCAGTAGTGTCTACTACACACCCAACATACAATAGTCAGTAGTGTCTACTACACACCCTACATACAATAGTCAGTAGTGTCTACTACACACCCTACATACAATATTCAGTAGTGTCTACTACACACACAATAGTCAATGTCTACTACACACCCTACATGGATTAGTCAGTAGGATCTACTACACACCCTACATGCAATAGCGTCAGGAGTATCTACTACACACCCTACATACAATAGAGTCAGTAGTGTCAACTACACACCCTACATACAATAGAGTCAGTAGTGTCAACTACACACCCTACATACAATAGTCAGTAGAATCTACTACACACCCTACATACAATAGAGTCAGTAGTATCAACTACACACCCTACATACAATAGAGTCAGTAGTATCTACTACACATCCTACATACATTATTCAGTAGTATCTACTACACATCCTACATACAATAGTCAGTAGTATCTACTACACACCCTACATACAGTACAGTGAGTAGTATCTGCTACACATCCTACATACAATAGTCAGTAGTGTCTACTACACACCCTACATACAATAGTCAGTAGTGTCTACTACACACCCTACATACAATAGAGTCAGTAGTGTCTACTACACACCCTACATACAATAGTCAGTAGTATCTGCTACACATCCTACATACAATAGTCAGTAGTGTCTACTACGCAGCCTACATACAATAGTCAGTAGTGTCTACTACACACCCTACATACAATAGAGTCAGTAGTGTCTACTACACACCCTACATACAATAGAGTCAGTAGTATCTACTACACACCCTACATACAATAGAGTCAGTAGTATCTGC